GCCAGCTGCAGAAGTGGCCCAGGCAGCTGGGCCCTCTGTCACCATGCACTTGCATGCTCTGGAACTGCATTAAAATAGTTCACATTCACATGAGCCTCTGTTTATACAGGCTGGTGGTAGGAAAGTTCCAAACTCTCATTTGATAGGCGGGGCAACTGCGGTGCAGGGAGCTCAGGTGACTTACTTGGGATCCCAGAGCCAGGTGGTTCGTGTAGAGCCAGCACTGTGCCTTTGCACCACGAGGGCAGGCGCCCTGAGCTCCGGCTCCTAGGGAAGGCTGCCTGCCTTGTCTGCCTGGCAGTCAGCACCGATTGCAAATTCTAGCTCTACAGACATGTGATGGCAGGTGCTTGCCCATTGGTAATGTTTCTAGAAATGGAGTGGTGTGGAGGACCAGTGCCCCATCCTCTGGTCCAGGAGGCTCTGAGCTGGCAGGTTAGTGAGGGAGCTGATCACAGAGGGCAAGAAGCTTTTGGGATAGTGGGGACCATAGGAATTTGTGGGATGGAGATGACAAGGTGGGGATACAGAGGGCTGTTCCCATTCTGTTTGGTGTCTACAGTTGAGGTGGCGAGTTCTCCTTCAAATGGACACGACATATATGTATGGGTACACACACACACACACACACACGCACACACACACGCATATAGTCTTTCCCTTCTTTAAAAGTGGCGTGCTTATTGTAGATACCTTGCAAATACATAAATGAGAAAAAAAAAACCTAGCCATACTTTTGACATAAAGGGACGACGATTATTAATCTTATGTGTACCAGTCCATACTTTCCTATGGATTGTTTTACCCAGTTGAGTTCATAGTGAGTGTATCCTTTTAGATCTTGCTCGTTTCACTTCACAAGTGCGTTTTCCATGTTATTACGAATTCTTTATCAACTGTCCTCCTTTGGGGGGCAATTCACCGTGGCTTGCTCATCCATTTGACGATTATTGGACATTTGGGCTGTTTCCACATTTTCCACATGATAACATGGAAATAAAAATGATCTCTATACCCAAAGATTTTGTATATAAATAGCTAATAATCACAACATACTTCGATAGCTAATAAAGATCATAGTGATATATTTTTTTTTCAGAGAGTTTCCTAGGAACGGAGGGCGGCTCGATCAAAGGTCGACCAAGCTCCAGACCTGCCACCAAATTATTTTTTAAAAAGGATGGTTGCGATTTTCCATCCCACCAGCCCTGTTTGAGATGCACGCGAAGGGGCACCTGAGTAGCTACAAAAGAGGTAGAGGGGCAGTGGAGGCTTAGCACAGAGGTGACCATGTCTGGGTTCGCATCAACCACAACACGCCCGATGCCCCAACAGCGCGGCCCAGTGCAAGTCATTTAACTTCCATGGGCTTCGGGTTCTCATTTTCACCATGGAGTTGCCGTCGAGGCTCCCTCCCAGGGCTGTTTCCAGAATCAATGAACAGTTACAAGTGACAGGCTCCAAACGGTGTGCATCCAAAGTCCTCATCAACACCAGCAGTGGCGAAGGATTGGTAATAATACCCATCCAGGTCTCAAGGACCCGAGCCCTTGGTTCACACTCCCGGCAGACGCGGGGAGGCAGGGCTGACCCTGCGCTCCGGTGGAGTCAGAGCACGTGCCCTCTCCTTATACAATCGCTGAACAAATTCTTATAATTTAATCATGACTTTTAATGTTTGAAATGGTGGCTTTTACATTTTACTGGAGCTCCATTGCCGGCTGCTCTGTGTTATACCCCCTGTTTATATTGCAATGCAAATTATTCCTGGTGGAGAGTTTACAAACTGCACTTCCATTATTAATAGGGTTATGATTTCCCCCATTCCACTCTTATCTCTCTTGCTCGTGTAATACATAATTCATGCTCCCCACCCTTCGCCCGTCTCAGTGCCAGGGTGCAGCTCTCTCTCTCTCTCTTTTCCTGATGACTGTAATTGGTATGCAGTGGGAGTCAAATGACCATGTCCCTGGCCTCAGGCTCTCTCTAACGGTGTTTTCTGGAAGGACTAATGTAGAGGAGAAATCGAAGCGCTGGGCCATCTCTGGTCAAGGCTTGAGTTCCAATTCTTTCTGAGCTCGGAATCCTAGGCAGACACGCATGGGGCTTCCAGGGGCCCTAAAACAGAATCGGCCAGTCGGAAGGAATGGGGTATCTTGGCCGAGGATGGGTCACGGCATTGGCGGGGGTGGGGGTGAGGTGGTGGGGCGAGGGGTGAGCTCCGTGGGCTTCAGCTGGCTAGCGTGGTCTGGGTGTTCCTGGACAAGTCGGAGCCTCGATCCTCCACCCCATACTCGTTGAGTGCCCCTCCCTGCAGGTGGGAGGATGGCCATCTTTTCCCATACCCACCTTGACATTTAAAGCCCTGGGCTGGCCCTTCTCACTGAAAACAGACACCACAGTGGAGTCCCGTCAGAAAATCCCAGGCTGGGGGTGGAGAGCCGTCGGTCTCAGAACTGGAACTCCTCCTACATGCTTGAGCTCAGGGACCAAAGGCAGGCAGACCCTTTCTCCACAGGCAGCTCTGGGTTGCTCGGTGGGGGTGCACATGCTGGAGGCTCAGGGAGGCTTCAGAAGAAACTGACCCGAGGAAGCCACAACAGGGGGCCGCTTAGCCCCCATTGGAAGCAAGCCGTTGGGGACACAGGGCCACCGTCCTCTCAAACTGCTTTGCAGGCCCTCCCGGCTTGGGCTTGGGCGACAGTCCCAGGACACTTGCCTCCATCAGAGGGGACATGTATTCTTTGATTGAAATCCCGCATGCTTCCCCAGATGGCAGGGTTCCTGCTGCCTACACCTCCTCTCGGGGGATATTCTTTCTCACCTGGCAGGTATCCTGTCTCCGTCCATGGTCACTCTGATGCCACACTTCTCCAGAAGCTCTTCCCTGGGCGGCCTGGTTCCCTCAGCTGACGGCAGCCCTTCCAGCATTGTAGTTCCTGCGTGGGAATAACTTCTTCCTTGTTAAGCCTGGGTGCAGCCCTCTTGGGTGGGTGGGTAGGGGGTCCTGGAGCATGCACAGTGTCACACACACAGTTTCCCTGCTGATGACCCACCACGAGGACCCGAGGGACAGGCTGGGTTCGAGGGCTTATTCTTTTCCTCGGTGCCCTGATCAGTGCCTGGGAGTTGGGGCATCTCTGTTCCCCTATTCGAGAGTCTTAGTTCCCACAGTCAGGGGCAGACAAGTAGTCTCACGATTCCCCTGACTCTAAGTGCTTGTGCTGGGGACTCGCTGGGTCAGGTCCCCTGGGTGGGGCCACAGAGAGCCCGTCGGACACCTCCCTGGGCTTTCGTAGTCCCCGAGGCCGGAGCAGCCGCCGGGTCTGAGCAAGCCCAAAGGCCCTTTCCAGAGGCCCTGTCTGGACGCCCTGTGGCTCTGTTTCCTCACCACAACCCTGGCAGTGACAGGAACTCCTTAAGTCCCTGCCGGGCACACACCCCCATTTCCCGGCAGGCTCTGGACCGCACCCTGCCCTCGCATCTCCGTCTCTCCTCCTCTCCCTGCTCCTCCCTCAAGCACACCTTCACAGACACACACCCATCAGCTGCCCACGGCCGCACTCACAGACATAAGGGCACACGGACGCATGGGGCTGTTGCAAACACAGATCCTCAGAAGTCAACTCAAAAGCACACAGAGGCACAGACACGTGAGCACACACGTGAGACGAACATGGACACGCCCATGAACACGTGTACACACATACAGAGGCACGCATGAGCGTATGCACACGAAACAGGACCCGGGCACAAACACACGCACACCCAGCCCACGCTCACTTCTAGGAAAGCCCTGCTTCTTCCCCCACGTGCTGGGTGCATGCAAAGCCACAGTTGCGTACTCAAACCCACTTGTACCTCCAAGGCCCCCGAGTGACTGAATCATGAAGCACTTTCCTGTTTAAGTTTATTTTCTTCTGGCAACAGGGAAATGCTTATTTCCAAGAAGCAGAGCCAGGGGAGTTCGCCGAACCCTCGCTGCTGTGGCTTGGGCACATTTTGGCATCGGGCTCTGTCTCTCGGGGCTCTGTTTATACAGCCCCATTTCTCCTCTTTCTCCCCATCTCTGGGTGCCACCAGGGTGAGCTGAGCCGAATCGAGTTGCCAGTTTTAAAGCTTCTGTTTATTGGACATTGACAAGACCCCTTTGGTCATTGCCAAGGATCTGGGGGTGACGTTTGCTAACCTCTTCCCTGAGTGTCTTGCTTCCTAGCTCCAGGAGCTGAGAGTCGGTTCAAGCCTCCTGTTTATGGCAGGTCTCTTGTAAAGTCTCCTGTGGCCATCTGGAGTGGCTGTTTTGTGTGAGGGACTCAGCTTTACACGAATTAACCCCCTCAAAGACAGGGTATTTTTTTTTTTTTTTGCCCGTTTTGTTTGCAACTGTCTCCTTAGCACTAGGAACAACACCAGGCACACAGGAGAGGCTTGAGGAATATTTGTTGCATGCATTATCTAACCTGACACAACAACCCTTTGAGTTAAGTATTGTTTTTCTCATTTTACAAATTTCTCATTTTACAGAGACTGAGGCTCCTCGTGGAGCCAACCACAAACCTGCAGTTAGAAAGTGAGTGAGGAATTGAACCCAGGTCATTGGCCCCACGGTGCAAGTTTCTGTACCGTTAGGGGTGGTTGGCCTTTCTGGTCTTCGGAATCCCGAACTTTGAGAACTGTGTAGCTTATGATTTATGCCACAGTCCCTTTAGGGTGAATGAAGGCAGAGCCCGGCTCATAGAAGCTGAACCCTATCATCTGGATAAATGGGTCACTCTTCTGCAGGCTCCACTGGTTTTGGGGTTTCCCTATTGTGTTCCCAAGTCTGGCTTGTCTTTACCTAGAACAACCTCGGGTCACAGGGGAGAGTTTCTCAGAGTGACAAAAACATACCTGAACCAAGCCCAGGTGTGCGTCTACCCCGGACCCACCAGGACAGTCTCATCTTCGGGAACTCGTTGGTTGTGTGATGCTCGAGATTGTTTGATTCATTGATTGATTGATTCATTCTTTCAGCACATCTTTATTGATCACCTCATATCATGGTCCTGTGTTTTGACTCTGAGGAAACTGAGTTGGATTGGATGTAATCATTTCTTTCAAGGAGCGGGGGCAGTCTAGTGGAGGAAGCAGAGACGGGACCAAAATATGCCCTGGGCCACAGCACGAACGTAATAAGGAAGCCAGGGCATCTCTGAAAGAGAGAAATTTGCTATTTCATCCTGAATTATCAAACTATGGTGAACAACAGAATCACTTTAAAATACAATAGCTTTACAGGCCCCGGGTATGTGACCTCAGAAAATCTGGGAAGGAGGGGTCCAAGAATGTGCATACTTAACCATCCCCCTGGTCGATTCTGGGACAGGGGGTCGGGGGTGGGAGGGCAACACTCTAGGAAGATCGACACCGTGGAGTCGGAGAAAATGTCACAGGGACAGTACTACACTCTTAAAGGATGTACAAATGTTTGTCAACAAGCAAGAAGAGAAGATGCTTTACAGTGTTGTAGAGTCAATTTTAAAACACGTTTGCTGGACAAGTAACTAAATGATGAAGACACAAATAAAATACAACATAAAAATGACTCACTCAAGGTAACTAACCACTGTCCTTAGTTGAGTGCGTGCCCTTCCAGAACTTTTTTATCAACATCAAATATATGAGTACAATCCCCCTGTGTCTCAATCTGTGTCTGTGTCTGCCTCTACAGCTATGTAGAGGCATTTCCAAATGCGGCTCAGGAGCACCATCATCGCTGTGGCCTCTGCTGATGCTGGGACCCCCAGGATGCTCAGGTTCCTCTCCTTTTGCTCGCCAAGAATCTAAAGACAGAGAAAACTCTGTCTTCTGTGTGTGTGTGTTTTTAATTGATACACCTCTTTCTATTTTATTGAGTTTATTTTATAAATAATTTCCATTGAAGTAGAATATAAACATGCACATGTCCTAAGTGTCCAGCTGCTGATTTTTCTCAAGCTGACCACACTGCTGTGACCAGCACCCAGATCACGACACAGAGCACGACCAGCAGCCCCTCCATTCCCGTTCTTCTCCCCCTCCTCACGCTACGACTTGGGCAGGAGACTCGGCGGTGGGACTCAGAGGGGGATTTGAGGTCCACACACCACACTCTTCTCTGTAACTCCCTCTCATTTTCCTTTGGTGTCGCTTCTCTCCCCAGGTGCTCATCTTCAACTTCCGTGTCTGCGGGATGCTCCCAGCAGGTGAAGGCGCAGGGACAAGGTCTGGCTCCAGCAGAGCCAGGGACAGAGCTGAGAGCTCTCAGCAGTGGCCAGATGACGGGTTCTGGGAGACGGGCTGTCCTGAGAGATCCTCACGAGGGCCCAGACCCTGTTCACATTTTGATCTCAGTCAATTCTGTGACATCTTGCTGTTCCTTTGCACAAACATGCTGCTGGAAGTGCTGCTAGAAACCTACAGGCTTCTTTGGATTGAGGCCCCATGCAAATGGCCCTCCTCTGCCTCCCCCTGCCCCCCATGACACCCTCTTCCAGAATGATCTCACATGTTCGAAGCTTGATTCTTCACCAACTATCGGCAACAATTGTCACTGCTCTTTGCCCTGGAGCCCTTTAAATAGTTGTATTAATTATTTTTTATTTTTATTATATCTATCTTCTTTTAATTTCAAAAGGAGCGTGTGCTTGTGGGAAAATATGCGAATCATAGAGCAACTATAAAGTGAAAGCCTTTCCTATTTGCTCACAATTCTGCCTTCCCACTGCCCAGGGGAACCCACCAGCAGCAGAAATATTGTGTCCTATACCAGAGCTCTCCCTTTATCCCTTTCTTAGCTTTTGCCTAAACTGGGATCATATTATCCTATTTTACAAACTTTTCTTGGCATTAACAAAATGTCATGCTCATCTTTCCAAATCAGTCCATACGAATCTATTTCATTCTTTTTAACAACTTCATAGAAGTCAACAGTTTGGATGTGCCATAAATGACTTGCCTGGTCTTTATCTTTTTTTTGTGGGGGGGGAGGACGGTGGTACTTAAATTGTCTCTTACTTTTTCCGCGACAAATAAGGCTGCAGTAAACATGCTTTACACTTATATTTGTCTGAGTGCTTCAAATGGAAGTCTGATGGCAGGAGTCAAAGCATAAATGCCTTCTAAATGTTGATATGTTATTACCAGCAGAGTAAGGCACAACTTTCCCCTCCTTCACCATTGTATATTCTAAATCTTTTAAATGTTTATCAATTTATTGGTAGAAAAGACGATCCTTTTTTGATTTATGTTCCCCTGTGCCCTGATAAGGATTAACATCTTCCCATAGTTTTTCTTTTAAGTAAGAACTAACCCTCTCAAGAAAAGAGCCAAGAGACAAGGTGGTGGGTCCTGGAATGTTTGGGGAACAGGAAGAAAGTCTGAGTCTGGAACTCAAGGCATAAGGATGGAAAAGATGGTGGAAAAGTTGGCAGAAGGCCAGATCGTAAAAGGCCATGTGTGGCTGGGTAAGGACTTTGGGTTTTACCTTAAAATCAGTGGGAACCACCAGAGGCTTTTTTAAAGAGGGAGGTAGACTGAGCAGATCTGTGTGCTAGCATCTGTGCACGGGGTGGATTGAAAGAACGAAACTTGGAGGGGGTGGTGGTGAGGGGAGGCGGGGCGGGAGAGGGAATGAAGGTAATGGCTCACTGTAGGGATGGACAGAAGAAGCCTTAGTCAGGAAACACTGACCTTCTTTTTTTTTATTTTTTATTTTTTAATTTTTTATTGTTATGTTAATCACCATATATTACATCATTAGTTCTTGATGCAGTGTTCCATGATTCATCGTTTGTGCATAACACCCAGTGCTCCACGCAGAACGTGCCCTCCTTAATACCCATCACCAGGCTAACCCATCCCCCCACCCCCCTCCCCTCTAGAACCCTCAGTTTGTTTTTCAGAGTCCATCGTCTCTCATGGTTCGTCTCCCCCTCCGACTTACTCCCCTTCATTCTTCCCCTCCTGCTATCTTCTTCTTTTTCTTTTTTCTTAACATATGTTGCATTATTTGTTCAGAGGTACAGATCTGTGATTCAACAGTCTTGCACAATTCACAGCGCTCACCATAGCACATACCCTCCCCAGTGTCTATCACCCAGCCACCCCATCCCTCCCACCCCCCACCACTCCAGCAGCCCTCAGTTTGTTTCCTGAGATTAAGAATTCCTCATATCAGTGAGCTCATGTGATACATGGCTTTCTCTGATTGACTTATTTCACTCAGCATACCACCCTCCAGTTCCATCCACGTCATTGCAAATGGCAAGATCTCGTTCCTTTGGATGGCTGCATAATATTCCATTGTGTATATATACCACATCTTCTTTATCCATTCATCTGTCGATGGACATCTTGGCTTTTTCCACAGTTTGGCTATTGTGGACATTGCTGCTATAAACATTGGGGTGCACGTACACCTTCGGATCCCTACATTTGTATCTTTGGGGTAAATACCCAGTCGTGCAATTGCTGGATCATAGGGTAGCTCTCTTTTCAACTGTTTGAGGAACCTCCATACTGTTTTCCAGAGTGGCTGCACCAGCTTGCATTCCCACCAACAGTGTAGGAGGGTTCGCCTTTCTCCACATCCCCGCCAACATCTGTCGTTCCCTGACTTGTTAATTTTAGCCATTCTGACTGGTGTGAGGTGGTATCTCATGGAGGTTTTGATTTGGATTTCCCTGATGCTGAGCGATGTGGAGCACTTTTTCATGTGTCTGTTGGCCATTTGGATGTCTTCTTTGGAAAAATGTCTGTTCATGTCTTCTGCCCATTTCTTGATTGAATTATTTGTTCTTTGGGTGTTGAGTTTGATAAGTTCTTTATAGATTTTGGATACTAGCCCTTTATCTGATATGTCATTTACAAATATTTTCTCCCATTCTGTCGGTTGTCTTTTGGTTTTGTGGACTGTTTCTTTTGCTGTGCAAAAGCTTTTTATCTTGATGAAATCCCAATAGTTCATTTTTGCCCTGGCTTCCCGTGCCTTTGGCGATGTTTCTAGGAAGAAGTTGCTGTGGCTGAGGTCGAAGAGGTTGCTACCTGTGTTCTCCTTTAGGATTTTGATGGACTCCTGTCTCACGTTTAGGTCTTTCAACCATATGGAGTCTATTTTTGTGTGTGGTGTAAGGAAATGGTCCAGTTTCATTCTTCTGCATGTGGCTGTCCAATTTTCCCAACACCCTTTGTTGAAGAGACTGTCTTTTTTCCATTGGA